CACTTCTAAACAGTTCTAAGAACTACTCTCCCCCAAACTCGGTTTTGCTGCTCACGTTCGCACTGGCCAAGTGGCCATAGGAACTGGTAGGAGGGGTAACGCAAGCACGGCGACGGTCTTTATCACTAGACGTAGCGCGGCCACATACAACAACAACAAACCAGCATGGAGGAGGCTATTATTGCAATGTTCCTGTTCTGCCTTGCCGGGACCTTAATTAACGGAGAACGAACGGCGGCGTTTAAGGATTATGCTTGAGTTCTGTAAGTTACAGAGAAACACAGAAGACGAAGGCTCCAGCGTAATATGATATTAAGTAATATGATGGAAGAAGATAAAAGAGCAGAGCGCAGGAGGCAAACAAAACGACGGGTAAGTTTAGCTAGCATTAGCAATTAGCTGGTTGAATGCGTTATGTTTGTCTTAATCCTCGTTGTAATGTTTTGCAAAAACACACAGCGTATGGCAGACTAAAGAAAGTCCTTGCTCTAGACTAGGCACTGAAAGAGTTATAGGAACTACTAAAAAATCCCCAATTTAGTCTGGTCGGAACACGAGAAAAAAAGGTTTATAGGGACGTTAGGTACTAGGAACTGCAAAAGTCCCTCCGGTCGGAAAGCAGCTATTGTCAGTGAGCAGCGGCCGTTCTTCCAAGAAGTTCATGACGAGCTCATCAAGTAGTAGCGCGCCCCCTACTCGGCCCGCCTACGCACTTCTACATTCACCTCACTCACCACTATCAACGGCGCAGTTTGGAAAGGTTACGAGAAGCTGCCCCCTCTCGAGGAACACGCACCTCTGTCCGCCCACTGCTATTGGATGGACATCCAGGGTAGCTTATCCGTCTAAACCCTGCCAGACCACTTCAGCCCTCGCTGCCCGGGCCTAGGCGTCCTCTAGCCAAGCGGGCTCCGCCCTTCACACCATGGCAATTCTCCAAGTGTTTCAGGCCAAACTCCTCCGGTCTATGGATGACCTGACCCAGCCGCATTCTGTGACCTCCGCAGCGCAACAGACCTGGCCCTGCTGGAGCGCCACTTGTGGCTGAATCTGACAGAGATTAAGGGTGCAGACAGAACTGCCTTCCTTGACTCCACCACCGGTGTTGATGGCTTTGCCGAGCACTTCATGGCAACATAGAAGTCTTCGCTGGCATGCACCACTTCCTGGCCAAGCACTCCAGTTCTGCAGCATCAAATCTCCAAAAAGCAATGCCGACTCAGTAGCCAGCCAAACCAGTGCCTAAACTCTTCCCTCCTAAGTGCAAGAAAGAGGACTCACGCTACGGCTGGACCACCCTCCAAAAAGTCTCGAGTGTTCCTCCCAACACCCTCTTCAGTTTTGGTTGTTGTAGTAAATGCCACAATTACAGACAACGGGCCTATTCAAGTTCAATCACCCATGCCATTAAACGCTAGCCTGGCTCTGCCCTCCTACATACTTCTGCTCAATTTTAATTTTCCTTCAATACTACGTCTGGGATTGTGCTGTATTCTTTGGTTTTCTCTGGTCATTTTTTTTTTACCAGGCCAATCAGCGAACAGAGGGAGTGGCTGAGAATGATGAAGTTGATGTTGTGCGCTAGTTTGAGTCGTCATACTAACGTAACGTCAAACATCAATGATTGCGTATAGCAGATCCAGAGTGATTCTGAGCAGATCACAACAGAGCCTACAAGGAAGTTAATGGAGCGATGCCAGACTCTATGTACAAATGAAATGTGCGAGAGTCTGGTAGGACCAGGCTAATTGAACGTTGTTATAGCGAACAAAATAAAAAAACAAAATACGGGCATATACTGGAGCTAATGGGCATGGGTCGCACCCCCTCAACTCTCAAAACAACATGACATCATGACTTTTGCGTAAACATACACACCACTTTCGAGTCAAGTGGCGTGTTATCTCTACGCATTTTGAACTATCCGCGCGTATCCACGTGTATGTCTACGCCATTAACATCCTAGTGATTCCGCGTGTCTGTACACGCCGTCAAATGTCTGCGCGAAACGAAGCAAAATGTACATCTACATCTGGGGAGCAATCTTTTTTTTTTCCTAGGATGGTAAGGGAACAGTCATAAATGCCATTAACCCCAGTGACGGTTAGGTTTAGGGACGGGGTTGAGGTAAGTCATATATTTATATATACAGTAATAACGTTAAGTCAACGGCGTTCATAAACTCGCTGAAAAGCGATTATGCGTCTTGATAGCACGCCAAAAACGGAAATACGAATTGGCGTGTCATACACACGCTACTTCATGAGATCAGTCTGCTCAAAGTCTATGTAGCAGCCATAGCAGCATGTCTCCTGTGGTCCTGTGGCCGGCCAATCAATGGGTAGAAGCAACCTGGTTGTTCGCTTACTGAAAGGGTCAAGGAGGCTCAACCTGCCTCAACCTCATACCATACCCTCTTGGGACCTATCAACGGTGCTTAGGGCACTCAAAGGGCCCCTCCTTCGACCCGCTTCAGTCGGCTGAGCTGTGGCCACTTTCGCTTAAGACAGTAGTGATGCTTCGGTTAGCATCGGTCAAGCATGTGGGCGATTTACAAGCACTCTCCGTCAGCATCTTGAGTTAGGGCCTAACGACTCTAAAGTCGTCCTCAAGCTGGCACGGGTACGTGCCCAAAGTACAAAACCAGTGGTGGAATGTAACGAAGTACAAATACTTCGTTACTTTACTTAAGTACATTTTTCATGTATCTTTACTTTACTTAAGTACAATAAATAGTGCATACTTTTTACTTTTACTTCGTTACATTTTGCAGCAATTATTATACTTTCTACTCCACTACATTTCTACAACTTCTGTTACATTTTTGTTACATTTTCTGATCAGTTTTTCCCCTGCCAAAACGTAATCTGACCGTCCGTTCATTGCACGTTTGTCTCACCAATGACGTTTGGTTGCCATAGATACAGTATATCAACCCGGTCACACTAAATGCGTCTCACACGCAGTGTGTTTATCGTAAAATTTGTTTTTACGTGCATAGGAAACACACCGTGTGTAATATATGTTTGGTTTGGTTAGGATTATGGCAAGCCAAGAGGTTCAGAATTACACCATAAATTAATCTCGTTTACTGCCAAACATAGTTATTAACATATAGTAAGGATAAGCATGATGTGTATATTGCCTAATTGCAAGCTTGTTTCAGAAATGGTGACATTTTTTTCCATCATTATTGAACATCATTATAGGAGTATTAGGTTGAATGAGTTAGAATTAAATGTTTTATTAATCATTAGAAAATAGACATTAAGATAATAAATTGTTATGCAAGTACTTTTACTTTTAATACTTAAAGTACATTTAAAATAAAGTACTTTTTACTTTTTACTTAAGTATGGTTGTCATTGTGTTACTTCTACTTTTACTAAAGTAAATATTTATCTGGGTATTTGTACTTTTACTTAAGTACTGAGATTCAGTACTTCCTCCACCACTGTACAAAACACACACACACACACACACACTATATAAACACTTTTATGTTATAGTAGACATAATCAATCACGATTAATCAATCTGACAGTACTGAACTATCTATCTATCTATCTATCTATCTATCTATCTATCTATCTATCTATCTATCTATCTATCTATCTATCTATTTATCTATATTTCTTTCAGTTTGGTTGGTTGGTTGCTTTTATTGAGGCTGCATGTGCTGTGTTAAATTTCCTGGATGATTTGTGAGTTGTTATTTATGAATACATTTGCATTTTTGTATTATCTGGGTGTTTATTTTTTCAAGTTTTTCTCAGTCGCTTTGGTGCATTTCTCAGATCAGAAATGAAATTCTCAAAACTTGTTCAACCTCCACATCATCTAGTCACTTATGCACATCATAAAAGCAGTTTCTCATTCTTTTGAACAAGTTGCAATTGCTTTGGTACACTCATGCAATTGATCATGTACAGTTGTCTGCTGTTTCCTAAATTATCAGTTGCTAATGCCATGTTGTTCAAAATGTATTAAATAGTTCTCTGTGCAATAGTCTTACCCCTTAACAAATCTAGTCATTAGTTCATTGTAAATGCAAAATCTAGTTGTCATAAACTGTCAAGCATATTTTCTACACATTTCTATTAGACTTTTTGTATATGTGCCATGAATTGATGAATTGTGCAGGTGAATCTTGACTTTCACTAATGAAAAGAATGTAGATCAAACAATGAGAAACCAGTTCTCTGAAATAGCTCAAAGTTGCATCTTCAATTGGCTAGCATATTCAGTGCTGCATGCAAAAGCAAAGTTCAGCCTAAGATCTTTCCTGTGTTTGCTTTGTAGGGCCTTTGTGCCCCTATTTCTTTTTCTTTTCTATATCACAGTAATATTGTAATGTTTTTTGTTTTGTTTTTGTCAGACCACTAGTAAATGTGTAACTGTGGATCCTATCCAGTCTCTTTCGATCAATAACTCACATAAAGTATTGTGTAAATCTGTAGCCTACATTTGAAATATGACAAGCGCGGCTTTGTACATTTGATTTCAATACAGCAACTGTCATCCAAACTGTTGCACTAGTTTACACCAGAGTGCAATGTCTTATTGACAACGTGACTATGACATTTTGACTATCTTGTTTGTGAACAATGACACAAGGACTTCTGATGGCACTGATATGTTCATTGACATAAATACTTACTTTTGAGAGATGAAATAAAGATTTTGAGTTGGTTACAGGCTTTTGCAGGTAATCCAATGTGTGGTTGCTGATGTGTACGAATTGTTTTGAGAATGCACTTCTTTTCAAATATTAGGCCTAAGGATGATTTGAGAAATGCACCAAGCAAGGCAAGAAAAACTGTAATGTATATTACAAATTCTACTAATATATGTAATCAATGATAAATTAGACACATATACAGTACAGAAAGTATAAATAAAAATTGCATTTATAAAATAAATCAATGGAAATAATAACGCAGGTGAAATGTCAAGATAGCTCCGCCCATTTGGTATGCGCATGCGCAGTGCGTGTTATTTCTACAATGACGTTGCTCTGTCTCTATTAGCCTGTTCTGCTGGGCGCTTCTCACTTTCCGTTCAGAGAGCCGCTTTTCTAAACTCAGCCCCGGGAAACCATGGCCGACCAGGCCTCGGGATCCACCCGGCCGCCTCAACCTGACGGTAAGCGTCTTTCTCCACAAAGAGAGGTTTATTATGCTGTTTTAGCTGTGCTTGTTGTAGGCCTGCGGCCTGTTCGTCCACGGATTAGCCAGCAACAGTCAACCGGCTGACAGATAGCCTACACCTCTATGCATATTAATTAAAACGTTCTCAAATTATGCTTTAATGCTTGATATGTGTCGAAGCTTCTGAGAGAACTCTTCTTGCACAAAACATTTGCTATGCTAATCTTTCGGTACACAGAAAAGTGTTTATGTTCAACATGATGATGTTGCATCCAGTGATCAGCAGATGACAGCTGGAGTGACAGTGTTTTTAGCTATCAGGACAATGTGGTTTGTGTTTTTTATGTATTTGAAGTGATTTAATATCATGTCTACAGGTCCTTGTTTGTAATGTTGCTCAGTTGATAACATTGTTTGCGTGCATTTGCTTTAATATGGTGGTTTGCACATTTTAATCATGGATTGATGTATATGCAACAAGCATTACCTTGCACTGCACTGACAAAAAAATGTTTATTAGAACATGCCATTATTGGGACATATTTAATTGTATATGAAGTAGAATATGTTGCATAATTCTTCTTTAGCATTTTAACCACAATATTACACATAAGTTTGTGACTTATGGAAAAACATAATAATTCCATTATTTGAGCTCCATAACCTGCAGTTATTTTAATGTAAATCTATGCATGTGCTTGTGCCTTGATCCAGTTGTGCTACATTTTTTTTTGTTTGTTTGTTTTTTGCTGTAGGTTAAGTTCAGAGATGGATAACAACCATCTGTCATTCCTAAAGGCTCGTGGTTGCTTTGGGTGTAGTCGTCTTTTACAATTCCAAAGACTTTGCTGCAAATGTTTTTGTAAAATCTTGTATTTAGGCCTAATAACCGTAAAACCCAATGTTAGAGATTTGTGACCTGTCAGGACAGACTTGCGGTTGACTGACCTGTATGTGGCTGTAATAGCTTGGACTTGGCAAGCCAAGCAAGCATTGTTTTCTCAGTCTCTCTTTTTGCCATTGAAAATGTCCCATTATGATGCATTATTTACTCATATATTTTACTCTTGGCTGTAGTTTACACAGCCAAAGTGCCATTCAGAGGTTGGAGGTGTAGATGCTTGTGAAAGTGTGGGACCGATGATGGACGATGTGTTGTTTTGGCAGGAGTTCTGGAGCAGCGCGCGGCCGAGCAAGAGCAGGATCGAACCGACTTCCTGAAGCTCAAACAACAGCTGGAGATGGAGTTCAACCAGAAGCGGGCCAAGTTTAAGGAACTTTATCTGTCTAAAGAAGGTAATATATTGTTTACAATAACTGCTGATGAACCAGTAAGAGACAGAAAACTGAATCTGAAAGGGTCTGAATTTCTTAAAGGGGTGATGAACTGAAAAATCAAATTTTCCTTGAGCTTTTGACATCTAAGAGGTCATCATTTTATTAGAATATCCTGTTAGTTTCAGAACTGTAAACGTCCTTTTTAGTCCAATAAAAGCTTTTATTGACACCAGGCTTAGCAAACGACTCGTTTTTTTTAAAGTGGGGAACTATGACGTCAAAGAGGATAAAACGCCACCCCCGCAGAAGAAGAGCAACGCCTACTTCAACACGGTTTAGCCCCTCCCACCGATTCACGCATTACACGCATAGCTAAATAACATAGGCCTACCTCGTGATGACAAACCGGATCGAGCTACCGAGCAATAAGATAGATTAGAAGTAGCATAAACAATTTACAATAACTTACGACGCTGTCACATTTGAGGTGTTGTTGGTTCATTGTCCTGCAATTCGGGATCGGACTCTGGGTCGAACATGTATGGGCGAATCATTCCGGTTGCCATTTTACAATGTTGGAAGTTTTCAAAACAATTTCCCCCACATGCACCGACGAGTAGGGTTGGGTATCGAGAATCGAGTATCGATTGGAACCGAGACTAACTTTTCTTTTTTTTCCGGAATCGTTCAAAAGTTAAAATTTCGATTCCTAGTTTCGATATTAACAGTCCGCCGAGCGGAAGAAGAAACCGCTGAACAACACCAACGAAGAAGCATCTACCGGAAGTGTTGGCATAACCACGCGAGTCGAACATGAGTACCTTACGTCGGCGATCCAAAGTGTGGCTTCACTTTTCTAAAAATAACGAAATCTCGGCAAAATGCAAAATTTGTGACAAAAGGAGTATTTTTACAGAAGGAGTATTTCCTTCAGAAAGGCCGTTGGTTAGCAAGGTTAGCTAAACTTTTTTGACCCTGCCTCTTAAAAGAATCGGAATCGAGAATCGTTAGGAACCGGAATCGGAATCGGAATCAGAATCGTTCAAATTCAAACAATACCCAACCCTACCGACGAGTGAGTTGAAACTCATTATAATATGCAAAACTGTTATCCACTCACAGCAGTGGGCGTTTACTTCCAAGTCTTCAATGCGAGACGCCCATAAAAACTGAGCGTTTTTGAGCTAGGCTCAAAACTAGGTTAGAAAATAGCCTATTACATATTCATTTTGATGTTTTTCAATGTAAAAACCAAGCGAATGTCATAATTTGACCTCAGACAACAATATAAAAAAATTTAAAAACCAGTTCATGACCCCTTTAACATCAGTTGCATCTTTAAATAAATGCCACTAGAGTTTTTTTTTTGTTTTGGTTGTTTATTTTTGTCTTATTAAAAATCAAACAAAAGTAATTATCATTTGGGTTTTTTTTGTTTATTTGATTTAGTTTTTGGCTGTATGAAGTTTACATAGGTGTCCTTGCAGAGTAACCAGAGTGTAGTTCATCACATTAGTTATGAACATCTTCCACTAACATTTGAAGGTCTCCAATGTGTTTACTTTATGCCTTCTTTTTGTAGTATATATGTATATTAAAAGTGTTTCACTTACTGAACACTTTCTAGGAAATAAGTGTTACCTTGTGTGGGGTTTTCAGAGCTGCAGTAAGTGGTTTCTTAGAATCATTGTTGAACACTGTTGTTGATATCTGAAATCAATCAACCCAAACAAACACACCCCTCCCTTCATTGCATGAACATGCAATGCATGAGTAGATGTCTCTATCATAGCAGAAGCGAAGAAAAATAAAGCAAAGATGACTTTCAACAGTGTTTCTCAGAAATTGCATACTGCACCTTTTAAAGGGAAAAAAATGTTGGTTTTACACTCACTGACTTTTTCTCAAACCAGTTCTTACCTCCTCCTTAGACATGTACAGTACTTAAATCCATTTCACATTGCGCCTGGATGCACACAGACTGAACAAGCAAACAGTTTAGCTGTCATAGATCATTGTTTCATCATTGTTAATCTGTTCTGGGGCAGGACGAAAGTAAGAAACCAGATAAGTTTCAAACAATGTTACCAGGGATCTGAACACATGGCTCCTTTTACACCTGGTATAAATGTCATGTGATCAGATCACAAGAGGAACAGCAATAAATATAGGTCCAAACAGGGTCCAGTTAAGTTAGTTAAAGATCATATATTTAGGACACAGTGCAGGAGTGAAGGCTTCTTTACATAAACCTTTGTGCTTGTCCTGTAAATCTCTCAGAGGAGCTGAAGAAGCAGACTGCTATACTGGAGAAGGCCCAGGCAGACGTGAGCAAGATGCAGGACCAGCTGGCCGAAGCTAGAGCAGAGATGGAGACCATTAAAGCGGTGGCCACCGTCTCTGAGAGCACGAAGCAGGAAGCCATCGACCAGGTCAAGCAGCAGTGGCAGGAGGAGGTGGCCTCACTGCAGGCTATTATGAAAGGTAATCGGACACTGATTATTTCTATGCTATATGTCTGAAAACCGATACCTGGAAGTTTTATTTATTGCGCTATTTCTGCTATTTGAAACGTTAACTAAATCATTTGTCACTACCATGAAGTTGACTGAACTGCTTTACAAAACTAATATGGCTAAATTTTACAAGCAATACATAAATAGCACAATTTAAAAGGATAGTTCACTTTGAATAGAGCCCGACCGATAAAGGAGTTTAAAGGCCGATACCGATATATTTGAAATATTGCAATATTTTGGGGTTTTAAAATCCGATATATCGGCCGATATTTTTATTTATTTATTATTTATTAACAAAACATTAACAGATTTCCCTAACATTAGTTATTCGTAGTTATTTATGAGTTTTAACTAAAATAATATGATAATGCATTTTAAAAAGAAACTTGTTTCTTTTTTTGTCACAACAGAACAGACTGATGATAGTGGCATTAGCTAGCTTTGTGGTTAGCTAGTCTATGATGAGCCATAATTTAGCAATGGATTGCGTCATACTGCAAATTGTAAAACATACATTTTCAATATAACAGGCCAAGGAGAGATGATGCGTCTCACTGCTATAACTGTCACGTGCTATTAAAGAAATACTTCAGTCACATTGTCAAAAGTTAAAAGGACAGTCAGTCAACTAGCCTACACTGCAACAACGTAACGTAATTATTACTATCTAATTCCGCTTCACTCTCGGCTTATTTAACAGCAGCAAAACTGGACATGATAGTCACAAATTTTGTCATGCTTATTTGAGTTAAGAGAACTGATGGGGATTTTCTTTTAATTGTTATTCAAGCAATGTATGTCTCGTGACCAACTCAACAAGTGTTGCCAACAGGAACAGTGTGGACAAACTTCTGGTGGACAAACTATACAACTTCAACACTGATGACATGGTTCAAGCGTGTTTCGTCCGTTTTTATTTTATCTTTGAAATATTAATTTATCGCCCATTATAACTGCCGATACCGATAGTTTGGAAATGCCTAATATCGGCAGATAATATCGGTCTGCCGATATATCGGTCTGGCTCTAACTTTGAAATTAATTTTTGGTATGTATTAGCTTACCTCAAGGCCATCCAAGATGTAGATGTTTTTGTTTCCACAGTATTATCAATTTTGATATTTTTAGGTCAAACCGTTCTTGTCTCTCAGTCATATAATGGAGGTATATGGGGTCCTCCTCAAAGAGCATGCACAGAGAAGTCTAAATTAATCATGATTTAATGACTCGTAAATGTAAGTACACATTGATGGCCTAAGACACGAAACGAGCGGTTTGTGTGAGAAAGCGAACAGTGTTTATATCGTTTTTACGACTGTGGTTACAAGAGGTAAAAACTATATAAATAATGTTCGTTTTCTCACCGCTCGTTTCGTGTTTTAGGATGAGGATCTTTAAAAGATGTCTTTTTTAGTTATGTGCTTGTATAAGTCGAAAAAATGTTTTGTTTATTGGGTGTAACGGATCATTCTTTAATGGTCAATCACATTACAGTACATACTGTACATTATTACAGCTCCTCTATTCCCAGTCTGTCTGATATATGCTGATTACTACAAAGCCTCAGAGTGCTCTGAATGGCCAGCTCACCCAGTGTGTTTTGATTGCCACATGAAGCATGTGTTTGAAATGTACACGCCCCTTGCCATAATCGTGAGCTTCAGCGTTCAAGGCTTCTAAAGCAAATATAACCACCACACAGTTAATAATGTTGTCGATATTACCGCATCAGTTCAGGCCAATGACAAATTCTAAAAATACGGATGATCAGGCTTTGCTTGCAAAGAATGACGTTGTGCAAAACAATTCACTGTGGTATTTTTATTTTGTTGTAACTCTCTTACCTTTCAGATATGTTATAAATGTCATTTGTCATCTTCACTGTAACAAATTTAAATCCTGAGGTGACAAAAAAATACAGATAAAATACATACTTTCGTGTAAAGTCGGCGTTGTACTCCCCCAGGTTCAGTTTTCAGCGGAGTGTGCTTTGGACAAGTTAACTTTTGTGTTGAACTTCTCAGGAACTTCTTATAAATAAATCTTAACCACTGATTCCTATTTCCTTTCTTTCTATTTTTGGACGTCCAAAGAAATAGGTTTTGCTTTTGCATCTACACAGCATTTTTGCTATTCACTGAAGCCTAATCCTCTTTTTTGCGTTTGCCTATGGACGGGCATAGCGGAAGTAAAATATGGACTTCGTTAAAGGCATTTTAGGCAGGCCTTGATGAGTGTTCGCAGATCGTGTACATGCACAAACAGACAGATCCATTACACTAAAGGGAAAGGAAAATATTAAAAAGCCTCATATGACCCCTTCAATAAATGAACATTCTAGAAACGCAGGACTTGCAGAAAGCTGCAGTACCTCCATAGGTTCAGATTCTTGTTGAATCATAAACGTCATAAATAAACTATATTTGGACAAGGGAAGATTAGCAAGATTTGCTGTGAACATCGTTTTGATGCATACGTCCTTATCTTGACGTGCGTGTTCAGATGCAGAGCGGGAATTTAAGTTGCAGTTCCAGCAGAAGTTGGAGCAGGAACGCGCTCACTGGACCCAGTACCGCGATGGGATGGAGCGGGAGGTGGCTGACCTACGCCGGCGTCTTACTGAGGGACAGGAGGAGGAGAATTTAGAGAACGAGATGAAGAAGGTCTGGCTTGCTTTTTAATACGTCTACTTCATGATTTTAGTTCCTGTTTTTTAGTCTCGGAATGGTGACTCAAAGCCAGTGTTTGCATTATGTTGGTCTGTTAATCAAGCTGGAGTTTGTTGTGTCATTCTAGGCTCAGGAGGACGCAGAGAAGTTGCGTTCAGTGGTGATGCCAATGGAGAGCGAGATCGCAGCCCTGAAGGCCAAACTGTCGAGCTCAGAAGATCGAGTCAAGGAACTTGAGGCTGCCAAGGTTAGACGTGCATAGAAAAGTGGAACTGAGAGACAGACTGTTTTGTTCGCATTTATTATTAGACGTGATGCATTTCTTGTGGTTATGCCATGACCTCATGAATAGGCAAATTCACACCTGGCCAAATGAATCAAGGTTGCATCTGGATTAAAGCCTTTACTTATGATTATGACTATCTGATGATATTGACTATATGATGGCTTCAGGAATGAGTCATTAATCAATCAAGTCGTGTAAAAGTTAGCGGAAGTCAATGAGCCAGTGTCCGTAAAGTCGAAAGATTTTTCCCCAATTTTTTATTTTTATTTTTAAGCCATTTTTTTGACTGAAATGTCAAGATTATGCTTCTGTTTATGGATGCTTTTACTTATCATCATGAAAAATGAAGTTTGAAACGTGTGCTTGGTTATTTCCCAGGTGAAGGAGCTCAATCACGTCCTGGAGGCTGAGAAATCATGCCGTACAGACTTAGAGATGTATGTTGCTGTCCTCAACACCCAGAAATCTGTCCTTCAAGAGGATGCAGAGAAACTTCGGAAAGAACTCCATGAAGGTATGCGAACAAAACATTTCTGAAAAGTTGTAATTCTCTATTTTGTCATTTTCTTGTTATCATCTTGATTGGCTGGCTATTTCGTGTAGGTTACATCATACCAGTCCCTCCAGAAAAATGCGATTATGCGATCACTGAATTCAATGCAAAATCAGCCAAAGTCCGCACATTTATGCGGAGGCCGCATTTTTTCACATGCGCTGCACTTTCGCCGCATAAATTGCCGATTTCCATGCAAAATATGCGGGGTTTGCATAATTTCATAATCCTCGCATTTTCGTTGCAAAAAAAGTCACATGTATCTTAGCAGAAAGTTGAAAAATGATGCGTTTGTTTCACACAAGAGCAGCCATTTCCCCCTGTTTCCATGGGAACGTTATGAAGTGACGCAATTACGCGACGCCAGACAGACTCACGGAGGCGATTGACATCTCACAAATCGAACTCGTATAACTGTCTGTCACACGTTCTACCGTCACATCGTTACTTAATAAACAACATAAGATAAAAGAAGTAGCATCAAACAAAAATTACCCGCACACATGGGGTGTTCGAGGCGCACATATAACACTGCAGAAAGTTCAACAGGGAGCGCGCAGCTCTTAAAGGGGCCACACCTTATTTACACTCGTTACAGTCTGAAATAAAACCAGATGAGAAATTAAATATTCCCAGCACTTTCTATGATGCAGTATGCTTGCTTATCAAAGGAAGTAATAAGAAATGACTCTTACATTAGCCTAGTGAGAACAGGATGTTGGGGGAATCACTTTTTTTCTCTTTTTCATCAAACCGCAATTTTTGCAAGTTCCCTCAATTTTTGCAAATTCCTGCAATTTCATCGCATAAAATTGCATAAATTTACAGTATGATGCTGGCAACCACAGCTGCCAGTAGTTTACCGCGTAATCAATCAATTTTTGCCCGCAACAATCACAAAAAAACTCAGCGTTTTTCTGGAAGGACTGAATACTATTATGGTAAATGTTATATATAAATCGCAAATTTTTTCACAAATTTTTGGAAATTACCACCACAAAATCAGTCATTTTGATCGCAAAAATCACAAAAAAAAAATCATGAAATCCTGGAGGGACTGTCATACTTTGTACAGTCTCTATTTACATTTTGGTTAAGGTGCTATTGTGACCCCCAAAGTGCACCGCCAAATATTTAAGGGCCCAATTGATTGATTTATTTACTGGTAGCACTTTATTTCAAGTTTAGTCCTGTTTCGCATGAGCATACTATGTCCTTATTGTAGTAATGACATTAACTAAGTTCTAACCCTGAATCTACCCCTAAAATTTAACTTAAGCCATGTAGTTACCTTACAATACTCTGTACTTTTGCGGCAGGTACACTGTAGGCACATACTGTAAACTAAAGTGCAGCCGATCTCAATTTGTACTTGATATTTCAGTGGTTTTCGACGGGTTTAGCCATGGCGCCCACATTTTGCCATGGTCATTTAAGCTGTGACCCAAATTCTTAGGAATTTGAACCAAGCGAATTTATTTATCGAAATGATTGACACACACACACAAGCACTTCACATACACACATAAATTGTCAGAATATCACTAACGCTGATGAATAAACAGGATAAGGTAAGGCTATTAAATAGCAGTGCTAAACTAGTTTAAATAAAGTTATTAAGTTGGCATAAGCCACCACAGTCATTAAAAATATAGAAAATAAGATATTTTGGGTTAAGTTTACTGGAACTACAGTTACCATGGTAAATGCACAATATGAATTGACTGTTGATAAAACATGGACACTTATCCTGATGAATAGAATGAAGATCATACTGGTGTTGTCACGATGCCAAAATTGTGACTTCGATACGAAACCAGACAGAAATACCTCGATACCGATACTGAATCTACACCACAGGAAAAAAATATGACACAACTTACAATTCATTGTTTTATAAATTAATTTTTTTAAATTAATTCACTTGACCAGCATGTTTCTGCCCTACTTTTTTGACCATTCTCCCTTTTATTAAATAAAATAATTACATGCCAGTGTGTGCATCCTTACAAAAATGTTTGCAACATTGACATTATTATCAATCATTCTTACATTCACTAACCTTTCGCAATTCTGAACAGGTGTGGATGACCAAAATCTTATCTTAAGATATGAGTCGTTTAATACTTTTTTAAAAGCCATTTTATAATTACAATATTGATAATTAATATGATTTTTATCTTTGTTATTAAAAATAAGAAAATTACTAACATTATGACAAATACTATGAGACAAATAAAATAAATAGTGCTTAATTTTTTTTTTGAATGCTACTATTAAATAGTAGACCTACTGTCGCTGAAAAATTACAGTCTTATAAATCTTATAATGGTTTCCACAAAAATATTATGCATCACAACAGTTTTCAACATTGATAATAAGAAATGTTTCCTGAGCAACAAATCAGCATATTAGTATGATTTCTGAAGGATCTTGTGACTGACTGAAGACTTCTGAAAAGTCAGCTTTGCCACCAAAGGAATAATTTACACATTATAATATAAATTACAATAGAAAATGGTTATTATAAATTGTATTGATTTTTCACGCAATTACTGTTTTTGTCGTAACATAAATTCTTACTGTCCCCAAATTCGTAATTATTGGTACCATCTATATATCACTATCTTGTATGTGCCTCCTAATACGACTTTCAGGGATATTGCTTTATATAATACACATGCAGAATGTGCATCGTTCAAAAACAATGCAAGGTCACAAAACTTGTTTTTAAGAGTTAAACTTTATAACATGACATGCTGTCTTTTTAAAATGGATCATTTAAAAAATAAAATAAAATTCATTATTCATGGTGTTATTTGCTCGGAAAACAAGGGATGTGAAACATTCGCGAGAACCAATGCATCCTGTGTGAATGCTCTTCTACATACCAATAAACTTCTGCACATTGACTTGTATGGTATTCAACTTCTGTTTATCACAGTGTGAATTTATACACAATGCATGAGTTTGTGCAGATCAGATCTCACTCGTACAGGCGTGACTTTTTTTTTTTGTTTGCAATACGCAGTTATTTTCACTCTCAAATGGAAGTAAAATGCTTGTACTTGCAAGCCAGGGGGCTTATATATTTAGTACCAAGTCAGTTAATTTCAGCTGATTGAATTGGTTTGTTTCAGTGGTTCACCTGCTGGAGTTGGAGCGGCAGCAGCACAATCAGCTGAAACACACTTGGCAGCGTGCCAACGACCAGTTCCTGGAGTCACAGCGGCTACTGATGCAAGACATGCAGCGCATTGAGAGCGTGCTGTCCTCCGAGCAGCTGCGGCAGGTGGAGGAGATGAAGAAGAGGGACCAGGTATACTTAGCAAGAAACACTATAGACATTTGTTTCATCTGGCCACTGGTACTTTGTGATTTTAGCAGTTTTGTTTTTAACCATCTCATACTGCAGTTTAAGGTACGTTTTATAATAACTTTGCTTTTCATTTATAACTTAAAGCTCACTTGAAGATTTTCGACTACATTAAAAACTACTAGCCTAAATGATAGAGTTCACACATTATTTAAAACAAGTGAACAGTCATTAAATAAATAAGAACAAATACACAAATTACAAGCAGAGATGAATACTAAATAACAAAGTTTACGAAGTCTAACAGTAGGCTAGTATTCAGGTACAGAAATTAATTTAAGCCTACATATAAAATAACACTATTTGTTCACTGTATAAATTAAATATAGTTTCATCTTTGTTAAAGCTGTATTTTGTTGTTTTATCAATATCAATGACAAAGAAAACAGTATATATATACAATATTAAGTGTGTGCTGTCACTTTAAGACTGACTGCACGGACTGAAAATACCAACAACTGACAAACATCCGTTCACATATTATGTATTTTATCTGTAAGGAGAGAATACTTTTCAAGACGGCCATTTAGATGGGTGTTTTGACAATTTGTGTTTGTGTCTGGCAAGGTAACGTGAAAGAGGAATCAATTCTGTATTCGAGCGCTGTCTGACGCTCCTCTCTCTCTGTGTGCTTCGAGTGTGTGTGGATGGGGGCTGTGCGCACAGATAACGCGAGTCCTGGTTTTCGGCTCTTCTTCCACGATTCAAATTGTTTAAATGTGTAAATTGCCAAGACAATAGCCTACACGTCCAAATTATAAACTTTCAATCTGTGATGGTTATATATGTGTTGCATCTGGGTAGTTCAGTGTTATTCTGACATTTATGCCTACATTTTACCAGGAGGAGGATGAGAAAGAGCGATTGAGTCAGGCTAAAGAGGCAAGTGAGGATGATGGGACGCATGCAGACGCAGTGGAGGACTCTCTGCTTGGACTCTCAATAGAAGAGGTATCATGTCACTTCTGTAAACCTCACTAAAGCTAGAACTAAAAGTGCCTTTAATTCATTTAAAGGTAACTTTAGTTACTGTAATTATGTAAGGGACAGCTTTACAGCTCTGTGTGTGTGTGTGTGTATATATATATATATATATATATATATTATATATATATATATATATATATTAGGGATGCACCGATATGAAAATTTTGGCCGATACCAATAATTCTTTATATTTGAAAACCGATATATCGGCCGATAAACTTAAAACCAAATTTTTATCTAATTTTGAGAGCCTGATTACAAAAACAAAAGTCTCACAATTAAATCCACGTCCCAAGCGCACAATTATAATGATGTTCTCATTATAGCGTTGTATAGCCGATATGACAGATTTGCGTTGCACATGTTGTCCCGAACCAGATTTTTATTTTTTGGAGAGATTTCAATCATATTTCAAGAAATTCAAAAACATAAACAGTTCTCAATGAGTGTCTCAGCTGAAGGGAATAATACATTGTTTATCAGCTTTAATATATCGGCCAAATTTTCTTACCAGGCCGATAACGATAACATTAAACATGAACATATATCGGCCGATACCGATATGCTGGCCGACATATCGTGCATCCCTAATATATATATATATATATATATATATATATATATATATATATATATATATATATATGAAGAGTTCAGATGCAAAAGCCTCTAAATGCCATTTGAAATTTTCTTCTTTAATGATGATTTTTTTTATCAAACTTGTATATTTAAGTTCAGTAATTTCACTTAAATAACAATTAATAGGTAATTATCATTGCCATTTAAGTGAAATCACTGAACTTAAATATATAAGCTTGATAAAAATGATCATTCTAGAAGAAAATTTCAAATGGCACTTAGAGGCTTTTGCATCTGAACTCTTCATATATATAAACAAAGTGATTCAGTCAAGAGCAGTGAGAGATTTTTTATTCTATTTTTATTTTTAAGATTTTTTTTCTTCTTTTGTTAACAATAATGACATAAACATTAGGCTTCTGTCACGTTAAGACCCAATATATTCATTCGCGTGTTTTCTTTTTCAACTGTTTGTGTTCACTTAAGACATGAACTACAGTGCTTAAGAGGATACTTGCAAGAACAGGCATTTTGACACATTTTCATAAGGTATTTAACCTTTCAAGCCCAATTAAGTTCCAAAAATAATTAAGTTTGTAATTAATGTGCTCTACTCTCAGTGGCCTTTATGTGCACACGTCTTTAAGACAACATAAGTTCTCTTTCACTGCTTAGGGTGACCACCATAAAACAAACCAAATGTGGGACGATTATAAGTTTGTGTGGGATAATGTGGGACATGTTACCAACACTAAAACACACCCTGAAACTGTTATATAATGCCGATAAAACATTTATATTCTGCCTTTCAGCTGATAAGAATTTTCTGTTCTTTAGTCCCTTCCAGAAAAAAAAAAAATCTTTATTTTACATATCATTTAAATTCAATATCACTGAGCCCAAAGGCAGTGGTCATCATGCAGATAACTATTTTAGAAACAGTTCTGACCAAAATAAACAATGAACAAATAAAATATAAAACAACATGAAATTAGATAGACAGTCTTATATATTAAAAATATATTAAAAACCAAAACCTTTCATAATTTTAGAAATGATGTGAATTAAAACAACCACAGCAGGCAATAGGTTAAACAACAACAGATAAATTCTGTAAAAAAAAAAAAAAAATACCGAATTATCCATTTGTTTTCTGACAGGGAACGCATGGAACGAATCATCAGTCCACATTTTGATTGACAGCGGTCACAACCTACTAGTGACCGTGTTTAATACATTTTTTTTAAACCATTGGACAAAATATACAAAAATTTGTACTTATTTGTAAAATTTGTACTGTTGTATACTTATGACGAAGCGCTGTTAAATATAGCTGAAAAACTACGCTGAAAAAATATTAAATAAAATGCTTTCAAAAAGGCAAAAGAAGGCATGCATGTTTTCTTAATATTACAATTAAAAACCAATAGACAGATGAAAATGCGGGACATTTCCTCAATATGCGACGTGTGGGACAAGGGGTAAAAATGCTGTGCAGTACAATGCAAAGCGGGACGGGTGGTCACCCTATCACTGCTTATTGTGCATCAACAGTTGAGAGAATTATTATTTTTTTAAACAGCAATGTTTAAAAACGCATGCACATGATAAACTTTTGTGACCGCGCAGCACAGCAATGTCATTTGAACGTAACCGCGATAGTGTCTTATCAACATGTCAACAACACAATCTAAACTTCCAGGCTTTAGCTACAACTACAGTTGAGGATTAAATTTGGCATTATGCAATTTTTTTTACAAACTTAAGTAGGTTTGTGCAGGAAGTAATAATGGAATTACTGATGACTTTTTTTTAGGCAGTTCGTTTCTGAATCGGTATTTTCTTTGGGAGACAACAACTGCATTTATTGTGCACTTTTATCTTAGACCTTTTACATTCACAAACAGCCATATATAACATTACATGAAAGGTAACGTCCAAAAAAGTTCACTAAAATAAAAATTATATTGTCCACAGCCCTAGTGTCCTAGTGGATTTACCTCTTATAGACCATTTCACAAGATGTAAACAACACTGGTCCAGAAGCACTTCCTGTTTCAGTTTTTTAACACTACATAAAAGCTGGGATAAAATACAACCAACAGAACATTTAAAACTGAATCAAAAAGTTAAACAAACATCTTTAAGATGTTTTCTTTACATGTGAAATAAAGAAAACAGTTACAAACTGAAACAGGAAGTGCTTCTGGACCAGTGTTGTTTACATCTTGTGAAATGGTCTATAGCTTATCCACGTTGTTTGCACAAAATAGACTAATTCGTTTAGTCAAATTCGTTTTCAGTCACCAAATTGTTGGTGCATCAAGTAACAAGTTCTTTATCTTAACTACTTAAAGCATCTTTCAGGGCTTTTGAGTCATGGGATCTTGTTTTCTCTTTCTCTTTCTGATCTCAGTCCCACCTCAGCCACAGTATCCACAGCTCTTTGCACTCTCTGGACGCAGACACCCCGGGCCTCCCGGACGGCTCTGACCCTTATAAAGACAGGCTTCGGAGGGTTCAGTCCACAGACAGTCTGGGTTCTTCAGGAGGGACCTTACAGCCTCACGGTCTGGGCGGACACAACAACAAGGCCAAGTCCGCCAGCCAGCTGGACGAGTCAGACTTTGGTCCTCTAGTGGGGGCAGACTGTGTGGGCTTTGATGGCATGGACAACTCCTCCTTATCATCCCTCCACCCTGGACATTTTCTCCTCACCAAGGACCAGGAGAAGGCCATTAAGGCCATGACCCCAGAGCAGGAGGAGACCGCATCACTCCTGTCCAGCATCTCTCATATGACCGATACGACTTACCTGCCTCCGACTGGCTACCGAATGGTCAGCGAGAGCGAGTGGAATCTGCTGCAGCAAGAGGTCAGATTGCTGTTTTTGTTTGTTTATTCATTTTCGATGACTGAGTGGTCTAGTTTGAGCCCTGTTTTGTTTTCTGTACAGTAGCCATGTTAGTGAAAATATGTTGCGATCTTAAGCCGCGTTTCCACCGTAGGAACTTTCCCCAGGAACTAGGTACTTTAGGGTGGTATTCGGTGTCATTCCGCAGGAACCAGGGTCTAAATGAATTTCTGGGTAAAAATCCCCCTCCCAGAAAGTCCCTGCTGGGGAGGTAGTACTTTTTCAGAGTTCAGGAACTTGCTGATTGGTTGAGCTTCTTGGTTCTTACCAATCTTGTTCTTTCTGCTCGATGGCACCCGTTCGTCCCATCCATCTCACGGTCAATGTCCGCTATAGCTGATAACAAACGTTGTCTACTTTTATATCTAGCATTACGAGCTTTCTGAATACGCTTTAGTATTAGTGCTCGTCTCTTTTCTGCCATTTTGTTAAAGGGATAGTTCACTTTGAAATTAATTTTTGATATGTTTTAGCTTACCTCAAGGGGATCCAAGATGTAGGTGTCTTTGTTTCCACAGTATTTTCAATTTTGACATTTTTCAGTCAAACCGTTCTTGTCTGTCAGTCATACACTGGAGGTGAAGGGGGTCCTCAATCGGTCCACCTCAAAAAGCATGCATAAAGAAGTCAAAATAAACATGATTTAATGACTCGTAAATGTAAGTACACACTGATGGCCTAAGACACGAAACGAGTGGTTTGTGTGAGAAAATGAACAGTATTTATATCGTTTTACCTCTTGTAATCATAGCCATGACAAAATGATCTGACGGCACGGGCGCTTTGGTCTGCGCATGCGCCGCAAGTGATCGCTTGCGCCTACGTCACTCTTTGTTTATACAGAGATTTCGGAAGTTTTACCTTTCACTAAACATATTTAGATATACGGGAAACCGCAATGGAAGACGATTTCGGTATATATAAATATGTTTAGTAAAAGGTAAAACTTCCGAAATCTCCGTGTAAATATTGAGTGACGTCACACGCAAGCGATCACTTCCGGCGTAACATTGAACTGATTCAGTACGGTTCAGTTGGACATTGAACAACGGATTCAGATCACTTGGACGTCACTGTGATTACACGAGGTAAAAACGATATAAATACTGTTCGTTTTCTCACAAAAACCGCTCGTTTCGTGTCTTAGGCCATCAATGTGTACTTACATTTACGAGTCATTAAATCATGTTTAATTTTGACTTCTCTGTGCATGCTTTTTGGTGGACCCCCTTTGCCTCCAGTGTATGACTGATAGACAACAACGGTTTGACAGAAAAATGTCAAAATTGAAAATGCTGTGAAAATAAAGACACCTACATCTTGGATGCCCTTGAGGTAAGCTAAAACATATCAAAAATTAATTTCAAAGTGAACTATCCCTTTAATTACCTCCTTAGTAAACGAATAGATCGCACACAAAAGCTTGAATCTCCTCCATACTTAAAACTTGAAACAAACGCGCAGACTGGGAGGAGCAGTTGCACGTAGTTCAACGTCACCAGACTAATTTACATAATCTTCCTGGTACTTTAGCCCACGGTGTAAAATGACGATGTAAATTGAGAAAAATGACCATTTATTGTAACTGATATCCAAAATAATCGATATTGAATCGAATCGTAATCGAAATCAAATTGAATTGCAAGCTTGTGAATCGGAATCGAATTGTGAAATTTGTCTCAATACCCAGCCCTAGTCTTTTGAGCTGTTTCTTTTTAGGGAATACGAAACAAAGCGCAAACAAATTACTATTCTTGGCTGGTCCTTTTTGGTGAATCAGAAACAAAGCACAACTAGTATGTGGGTTTCATTCACCAAAAATGACTGGTTTGAGCTGGTTGTTTTTTAGTAATTCAGAAATCCAACCCAACCAGTGTAGTTCTGCCCTGTCCAAAAAACCCACACTGCGGTCTTTGCCTACTTGCGTGACATATTTCCTGTATTTAGCCCAAGTGTTCAAGTAGGCGTGAAGACGGCAAGTGTGTGTAGAACTTTTGATTGCCCAATGTGACACACTTATAGTCTTGCTAAAAAAAACCCAAGTGTTTACAGAGCTTAATTTTAATTTTTAATACTTTGCTTTTTAAAATAAACTTCTAAATGTCTATTCAGTAGTCACTATGTAACTAACAGAAGACAACAGTGCTTAGCTAATAATTAAGTGATAAAAAAGCAGTTGCAAATTTTGTACAAAATAAATTTAATTTAGTAGTAAAACATAGTGTTGTTCCACATATTATTGGTGCAAGGATGAGTAGGGTATATGTAATATCTGATTAATTTAACTTGCAGTGGAATGTTTTCCTCAACATCTCACAATTTCGGGGCACATGAGTCGCCAAACATAATGCATGATGGGATATTCTTAGCCTCAATAGTGTGGGTTTAGTGCGTATTAAGGGCACTGCACTTTGACATTTTTAAAACGTGGGATAGTCTTGCGCACGCTCTTCCTGTCTGAATCTTTCGAGCTGGTTATTTTTGGTGAATCAAAAACAAAGCACAACCAGTAGTATAGTTCAATTCAAATGACAAATGACTCTTGAGCTGGTTCTTGTAAGTTGTTAAACAATGTCACAAGCTCAGAAGTTAGCTACTTGTTTGAATCAGTGTGATGAAGATTTGTGAACTTTAGGTGATCAAGTGTGAGAGGATGCTTGAAACTGCTTGCTGAATCAAACATGCAATGTAACAAGTTCACATGACAATGTAGCATGCGATTTGTTTTTAATGGATCAGCAAATATGCCAACCTTTCATAACACATTTTATGTTTGTTTTTGGTGTGGTTTCTCTTCAGTTGAAGAACGCTGGAAGGAAGTTGGGGCGCCGATGTGATATGTGCTCTAATTATGAGAAACAGCTGCAGGTCATGCAGGGACAAGAAGCCGATACAAGAGAACAGGTTTGACTTTTTGTTCCATTTAAAATCACGTACACGTCCCCTTTCTGTAGTAATTATTACATAGTGAACTTCCTCTGGTTCCTTCAGGTTAAAAAGCTTCAGGTCATGTTGCGGCAGGCGAACGATCAGCTGGAACGGACGATGAATGAGAGGCAGGAGTTAGAGGACTCTATCAAACAGGCCAATGAGGAAACGACTGCCAAGGTAAAGCTGATCTCTCTCATGTAAACATGGATGGGATCACATTGACGCACCATATGCTGTGAGGAAACTGCTGTAATCTTTAAAGGGTCACTAAACCCCTGGTCAGAGCCTGACTCCACCCACTGGCAATGCTGAAAAAGTGGGCTGACCCCAGCGGAGATAGAGGGGCTGAAATAGATGCTAAAACACCCTATCCTGATCGTTTTTAATACTCACAATTCCAATTCCTAACTCCCTACAGTGGTTTTGACGACACAAGATGGTTTTTATACTGCGAAGGGCGTAGCTCGCGTGGTGAGCTGAAACCTGCGTACAGTACGTCACGAAGTGCGGAACATCCAATAGGAAAATTTCAACTGCAGTAGCCACCGTTCAACCTGAAGAGGGCAGCACTAAGACGTTTTTTTTTTTTACACCATATATTGTAGAAATAGAACACTTTATAAACAAATGTCAAAAAAGTTACTCGAATCAATGACTGGTATTAACCCCTTAAGTGTCACCTCCCCGTTTTTTTGAATATAGATGAAAATGCACATTTCGAACTTAAATGGTTGTAATTCAAGAATTCTTTGGAATAGACGTAAAATTGGTTTTAAAAAAGACATTTGACAGATTTTTGTAGAAGTGAAATAAATTAAGAATGTGAAACAGAAAAAAGTTATAGAAGTTTGAGTTTATGAAAATGTACAATATAAAAAATTTAATTATTTATATTTTATATAAAATATATATTTTCAAAACCTGGCGACTCTAAAACTGCTAAAAAATCAAAACCATAAAATCTGAGTAAGTTGTGTTTCAAATTTTAGGTTGATATCTCAAAAAATGAAATTTTAGTGAGATTTTGTTTGGGCGCAGTACCAAACTTTTTCACTAGGGCACAACCAGACTCCATTACTGCCCATATAAGGGCGCCTCCATTTCCATATGAAATAATAATTATTATAATTATAAAATAATTGAATGGAGGCTTTCTTTTGAACTCTTGGCATGAAAACAAACAGGTTTCTACCCTTCTTTCATGATTTTTCATGTTCATCACAATTTCAAAATAAAGGTCTAAACACGCCTTAGAGTATGAAAATATTCTTGTTGCAAATTGATAAATTACGGCTCCTCTGTAATATATTTTGAAAATCAATCACCAAATATGATAACTAGAGATTCTAAGCTTTCAAATTATATATAGTTTGTCAAGATTAGTTTAGGTTTAGGATAATACTGTTTTAAAAATGTTATGGATTTGGGCCCAACGGTGGGCCCGTGACACTAAAGGGTAAAGGATCATCAACTAAAAAAAGTTGGTTTAGTGTTTAGTTGCTCTTTAAAATGGTTCCTCACATCAAAAAGAACAGCATTTATTCTTTAAAGAATCCAGAAAAAAAGTGTGTCGCGATTGACGCCAACAATTCTCAAGCAATACAAATGTTTCAAACATGAGTATTAATAAGAAATATTTGTTGAGCAGCAAATCAGCATGTTAGACTGATTTCTGAAGGATCATGTGACACTCAAGTCTGGAGTTACGATGCTGAAAATTCAGCTTTGCGTCACAGGAATAAATTACATTTAAAAAACGTAATAAAATTAGTTTTTTTTTTTTTAATTGTAGTAATATTTCACAACATTACCGTCTTTATTGTATTTGTGTTCAAATGAATGCAGCCTTGGTGAGAATAAGATTATTTTTTATCAACCCTTTTTTTAACACTAGTGTCTACCTTACGAGACGATATTGCTTTGCTGACTACTGTTTAAATGGGAAGAATGCACAGACTGCTCTTCCAAGTCAAACGACTTCAGTAATTTTCATTTGTCTGGCTCACAGATCTTAGAGTTGAAGCAGAAGGTTCAGGAGTCTGAGTCTCTCGTAAGCGCTCTCCAACAGGCCTTCAGCCAGGCCAAGAGGAACACCCAGGAACAGATGGTATGACCGAATACACTCACTTACACACTACACTAAAACATTCACGTGTTTGCTTGAGGACTTGAGAGAGCATATGCTTAGTTTTTTCCATTGAAAAACATCTAATGTAGAACCTCTCGGTATAGATCTAGACAGATTTCCAATTTCTTCAGGTACTAATGCTCTAAAGTGTCTTTTGGCATCCACTATTGGCTGCAATATGTTCTTGCTTAAGGCACGTCTGGTTGAAATCTGAAGTTGCACTATTAAAGTTATGAACTTAATTCTGGTGTGACATGATCCCTAGACTAAATCGCTCTGGAAAAGGTTCTGTCGGTTAGTTATTACCTGAGGAATGCGCAGTGAATCTTTCAGGGTCACATTGATGTTTTCATTGGCAGTTTTCTTTGAAAATCCTCTTTTATAATGGATCGTTTTCCACTTTAAATGGATATTTGCTTCAGAAAACATTTGTGGCTTGCAGTGGGTTTTCTAGGTTAAGTGGTGTGTGTGTGTGTCCAGGCTGTGCTGCTACAGTCCAGAGAGCAGGTGTCTGAAGAGCTGAAAAGACTGCAGAACGATAATGAGAGTCTTCAGGGTAAACACAGACTTCACATGACGCTGCAGCAGCAAGAGGACTTTCACATGCCGACCACTGTACAGGTACTACAGCACGTATGACAGTTGCCAGGGTATAACGTTAAGGATTTAAGGTTGGGCCAGTGGTTAAAATATTTACCTTCCCCACTACACAAAGTAATAAATTAATTAATTCATTAAAATGGTTATTGTTTTCATATATAAGATGATGACCTCATGACGGCCAATGTCAAAGCCAACCACATGACAGTTTAACTTAACCTGTCAGTGTCTTTGTCATGACAACTTGACATAAAATTAAGTTAAACTGTCATGTGGTTGGCTTTGACATTGGCTGTCATGAGGCCATTATAACTTTTTAATGACAAATTCAACTGTAGGTGAGGTCAGGAAAAATACTTGACATAAAATTATGATCTTAAACAATTTCATATTTGCATTCAAAATGTCATTATTGAGCGAAATCACTTAATGACAGTTGTCATAAACATGCATAAAACTTCCTTCATACTCAAGAAAGTAAAGTGTTACCCCACATTTCAGATACCAGTTTTCCAATTTTCACAATTTACCAAATTTCACAGTTCTCGATTCCAATTTTGTTACTACAGCAAAAACTAGCCTATATAATATTAAAAAGGACCAGCATATATAAAATAAAATTATTGTTAAGATTATTAAGTAAACAGTCATTAAAAAAATAAGAACAAATAATCAAATTATAAGCAATAACACAAATAAATACAATAGAACACATTTTCAAATTAAATAAACTTCTTTTCAGGTTGGTCTAACAGGTTTTCTGGTACATAATTGATGAAAGTAATCAAATGTAAAATAACACTGAATATTCTTTGCTGACTGTATGAATGAAATCTAGAATAATCCTTAAAAGCTTTTAGTTTTTGTAGTCTTTTTTTAATGTCATTTTTCCACACAGGAACTTCAGAAGCTGGTGTTGCAGTACAGGGAGGACATTGTTTCTGCATGCACGGCGGCGGAGCATTTGGAGGAGAAGCTGAAGGCTGAGATTCTGTTCCTGAAGGAGCAGATTCAGGCAGAGCAGTGTCTGAAAGAAAACCTAGAGGACACACTACAGCTGGAGATAGAGGGATGTAAAGAAGAGATCGGTGAGTAGATTTGAATAGTCATAAAAATCTTACGTCTAGGCGCTGTAATTGTGTATATGAGCAAAAGTACTGGGAATTCAAGTGTTTCGATTGGACCAATTGCGCCTGCCAGGCAGTCTGCATTTACAAATATTTGTGGAAAAAATGGGTCGTTCTGAAGAGCTCAGTGGATTAAAACATCAGTATACCAAGACATTAAAGGGATACTCCACTTTTTTTGGAAATAGGCTCATTTTACCACTCCCCCAGAGTTAAACAGTTGAGTTTTACCGTTTTCGAATCCATCCAGCCAATATTTTTGATATTTAGAAGAATATCAGTAACCAGACAGTTTCTGGTCTCATTGACTTGTATTTTTTTTCTACTATGGAAGTCAACGAGACCAGAAAATGTCTGGTTACTGATATTCTTCTAAATATCAGAAAATTGGCTGGATGGATTCGAAAATGGTAAAACTCAACTGTTTAACTCTGGGGGAGTGGTAAAATGAGCCTATTTCCCAAAAAAAAGTGGAGTATCCCTTTAAGGACCATGCTATGCTTCCAACTTTTGGCCCTTTTCCACTGCACGGTTCGGTACGGCACACTTTGGCGCTTTTCCACTGCTTGGTAGGGTACGGCTTGGTTCAGCTCGGCTCATTTATGGTGCATATCCACTGCATGGTACGGTACGGTACGGCTCGCTTTAAATGGTACCTCGTCTGTTGAGGTTCCAAGCATACCGTACCAGTATTAAAATGTGACCTAAAACACTGCAGATCACTGATTGGTCAGACAGAATCGTCACTACCAGTCATTGTCTTTGGGACCAATAGACATCGATAGGAAACCAAATCCGCTAGATTTAGATAGCCAGTAACAGCCACCGCTGTTATAGATCAGTCTACAATCCCACCCAATTTAAAGCTGTACTAACTGCAGGGGAAAAGCAACCGAGCTAAAGCGAACCGTGCCGCGCCGAGTCGTACCACGCAGTGGAAAAGCGAAGCGAACCGAACCGTACTGAGCCGTACCAACAGTGGAAAAGCGCCATTTGTGGAAACAGTTTGTGGAAGGCCCTTTTCTATTCCTGCATGACTGTTCCCCAGTACACAAAACAAGGTCCATAAAGACATGAATATGTGAGTTCGGTGTGGAGGATCTTGACTGGCCTGATGTGTATATATATTTATAAAATGGTTAGTTCCAATCCTTGATTCTGATTGGTCAATAGCTGTGCTTTATTCATGATAAAACACCGCTATGACCGCTTCACCCAACGGTTGCAACACTGCAGTTCCTGTTGTTTTTATTTGAGCTTTCATGCATATTACACATTGGAGCGTTGTTGCTGGTCACGGTCGGGGACTATTTTTTTCTAGCGTAAGGAAGGCTTTTAGTGATTTTACTACATGAAAGTTGCACTAATAGATATTTTTTTTTACTTTAATATTTTTATTGCGTGGTAACCGTTTTATAAAAGTAATAATGTACTCGAGGAAAGTGCTGTATCGTGAATAAGTAACGGCTGAAGGGGTTACTCCGCTTCGCGTCGTGCCTAACAACGCCCTTCTGCCGTTATTCACGATACTCCACAGCCTCTCGTACCTTATTGCTTACATATATATATATATATATATAGTTATGCACTTTTACAATTTGAATTTCAAGCCAAAATAATAAGTACATTAGGAAATGTACAACTACCGTGATAACAAATGACTCATACCGTGATATAAGATTGTTCTGATTAAACTGCTCTGAAGGTTTACACTGGCTTACATTGTGGCTTTTGAAATGTGAGGCTTTTAGCGGTTTGGAAAAATGTTATTAAATCCAAATTCTCTTTTTAAAGGAATTATTTTTGTTTAGCTTCAAGGGTTGCGAAACTCAATTTATCTACTTATTTACCTCTCATATTTTGCATTTCAATACTGTCTTTTTCTCCTCCACTTCTCCCTGCATTGGTGACTTGTGTTCAGACATCCTGGAAGGTATGAATCTTTGCCTGACTGTATGTTTGTCTAGGTCGTGTCTGTCTTTAGTGGATCCACCGATGCCATCCTAACACACCTCCCCCCAAAACCCATTAGCGCTGTGTGTGTGTGTGTGCTCATTCACATCCTTTTCACTTCATACTACTTAATTTAGCTTTGTAGTGTACTGTACTAATACAATATAACTTCATGTGACCTTGGGTTAGTCTCTGCATTTGACTGGAATGTGGTCGTGCTCCTACAAATGTGCATAACTTGATAAAAATGCATCACCTAACACTGTGCATTTGAAATGTTTTCTGCATATTTCTCTGTTGTGGAAGCGACTCTAAAACTCTTGTTAAGTTGCTTGGGATTTAAAGCAGTTTATTTATGGTCAAGTTAGACTTTTTGAAAACAAGAAGTAAGTAATTGAGTCAGGTTTAAGGGTGAAGTCGACATGAAGCATACAGTACCATTAAAGTTTTGAGTTTGTTAGGATTTTGTTTTAATGAATAAATACAGTAGAAACAGTAATATTGTGAAATATTATTACTATTTAAAATTACCGTTTTATATTTTTATGTATTTTGAACTCACTTATTCCTGTGATGGCAGAGTGAATTTTCAGTGTCACGTGATCCTTCAGAAATCATTCTAATATGCTGATTTACTGCGCAAAAACATTTCTTAATATTATTAATGTTGAAAACACTTGCTTAATATTTTGTGGACACTGATATATTGTTTCAGGATTCATTGAAAGTTCAAAAGAACAGCATTTATTTGAAAATATATTTTTCAGACATTTTTTTTTTAACTAAGCCCAAACTTTTGAGCAGTAGAATTTTTTTACTTCCATAATGTGACGCATTTCCAAGTGAAACAGGTTATGGTGGGATGTAATCTTATCCATCAGAGCAAGAGCATTTGGTGATGTACTGTAATCCAGAGAATAAATACATTTTTATTAATTTTGCTGTCCCCCACCCCTCCCACTTATAATTTAGTGGGTTATAATTTACACTAAATACAAGTTGAAAACACTCTAATTTATATACAGTATGCATGTGCCGGTATCAAATTTTCATATAATAATAATAATAATAATAATAATTCATTACATTTATATAGCGCTTGCATAGAGAGGGGAATCTCCTCAACCACCACCAGTGTGCAGCATCCACCTGGATGATGCGACGGCTGCCATAGTGCGCCAGAACGCTCACCACACACCAGCTTACTGGTGGAGAGGAGACAGTGATAAAGCCAATTGGTATATGGGGATGATTAGGAGGCCATAATGGACAGAGGCCACTGGGCAAATTTGGCCAGGATGCCGGGATTACACCCCTACTCTTTCGAAAGACATCCTGGTATTTTTAATGACCACAGAGAGTCAGGACCTCGGTTTAACATCTCATCCGAAGGACGGTGCTCTTTGACAGTATAGTATCCCCATCACTTTACTGGGGCATTAGGACCCACACAGACCACAGGGTGAGCACCCCCTGCTGGCCACACTAACACCTCTTCCAGCAGCAACCTGGTTTTTCTCAGAAGGTCTCCCATCCAGGTACTAACCAGGCTCAGCCCTGCTTAGCTTCAGTGGGCAACCAGTCTTGGGCTACAGGGTGATTAAGCTTTTATCACTGTATTGAATTAAGTTACTAATAACTAATAAATTAACTAATGTTAACATCAAAATATTTTCAAATTATACCTTTGCTTGGATATGTTAGTCCAGATTAAAATGTAAAAATATTTAATTTTGAAAATAAATAGCCTATTAAGTCTTTAAGTATTCAAGTAAAAATTAATTAATGAACACCATTGCGAATACATACATCTGAATAGACCACTTGCACTGAACTTCGCGACGCACTTCCGTTTGGAAACAGTACATATCACTTATTTCCGGTTATGTTTACTTTCAATGTACTGCGGTCAATGAGTTGAACAAACGCCACCTAAAATGAATGTCTGTAATAAGATTTTATATTTTGGACATTTTTATTGACAGAAGAAGGGATATTCTGATATTTACTGTGTATAGAATTTTCAAAACTGAACATGAATCGGAAAAATCAGAACATGAAGTTTAATCCAAAACAAGCCAATCCGAGAAGGCTGCGGCTGTAAACTTTTTCTTTCTTTCAATTTTTCAATGTCAATCGTTTTACTATATACATGTAAATAGTAAAACGATTGACATTGAAAAATTGACGAAATGCCCAAAATGCTTAATTAATATTCAGGGAAGTTGACTGTCATTCTCCTCTACGCTGCGTGCGTTCGGATCGTAGTCACCTCGTGATCATTCATTCTTTCATCTATTTTAAAAAGACAGGAATAAAGCACCAATGCACACAATAAATACTTTTTATTAGTCAAATTCATTAAAAAATGTAAACTCAAGTATAGAATATAAGTAGGCTAAGAGAAAAAAAAGCTGTTAATGAGAAGACATTAGACTGCTGCAGGTTAGTGTATATATTTACTGGAACATTTCAGCAGGCTCAAGATAATTAATACAAAGGTAATTATTCATTGTTTTAATCAATTGGCAACCATAAAATGTAGTGATAATCTTCATTCTCATGCATGGACGTGCGATGAACACTCTAACCGGAAACTTCCGGTATGTAATAAGTAGAACGCGGAAGTAGTTGTGCAAGTAGTCCATTGGGTGTTTTGAAACATTATTGTTCAGAAACAGAAATTAGCACAGCTGCTTTGTTTACGGGGGTTACCGGGGTAACGGCGGCATTTCTGCTCTTCCATCATCGCCATCTACTGTCAGAGAGTGAATATGTGCATATTCACATTCAGCACATCTCCATCACTGGTTCCACCATGCTTCTCATCCGTGTTGTTGTTGTTTACATTGACGCATCAAACAGCAAAACAATCGAAATAATTCATAATAAGAAATTGTTCACAGGATTTTCCAGTGCCCACAATAACAATATTGTACATGTTCATTATCACAATATATTGTTTGTCACATGTCTACTTTACAGTATTTAAGTAAAAGACAAGGAAATAAATGACAGTATTTTACTAAATATTTTTCTAGAAGAAAATGCAGAGATGTGGTTTAAATTTTTTTTTTTTTTTTTCTCGAAGTTCAATTCAACAGAAATTAAGAGAGTGAGGACATTGTTACCTCAACCTCAATTTTTTAAACATGGTGTTGTGGTGCTTTGTTACTTGTTAAAGTATTTGAAAATGCTACATTGTATTGAAACAGTACCTCAGCTGTTTTTACTACTGAAAATGTTGTATTTGCACTGTTCAGTGGCAACCTTATTAGGGCTTGTGACAGTGCAGAATACAGTACGCCATGCTTGGCATGTAGTATTTGTCATTTTTTAAGAGTCATGCTTAATTAATTGACTAGTCACAGTTTTTCAATTTTCATTGTGGCTCAGGCAGCGCTAACAAGCGGATCTTTGAGCAAATAATTCCTCTTGTTACTGAGGAGAACTCCCGCCTTGTTATAGGGGAACTGGCCATGCATTGACTACATGTGTCTGACTAATACACAACACAGCAACAGCATGTGACACTGTTTCTTTTCTGTTCTTGTCTTTCTTCCATCCTATAGCATCTTTTTCCAGCTTGAAAACGGAACTGGAACGAGTGAAGAGTGAGAAGGAACAGGTAGGGCAGGAGTTTAAGGCGTACTAATGATTTTTAGTCTTTGCGCTTGAATGTTACAAAACCGGTTAAGAACATGTCATGTCCAAGATATAATGGATCTTAAAATCAAAAGGGAAAATTCCCCCCAAAATTCTCAATGTATTTAGTTATAATAAATAATATTAATAAATGAAATAATTGATATTTTTTAAACTCTGTGGTATTTATTAGGACTGTCAAACGATTAATCGCTATTAATTGCATCCAAAAGTTTGTGTTTACATAATATTTGTGGGTGCACTGTGTATAATTATTTTGTATATATAAATACACACGCATGCATGTATATTTAAGAAAAAGATATTATTTCTATATAAAATATTTATATTTATATAATGTAAATTATATATAAATCTATATACAGTATATACATGAAAATATTTCTTAAATATATACAAACGTGTGTGTGTATATATATATATAAATAATTACACACAGTGCACCCACATAAATTATGTTAACACAAACTTTTAATTTGGATGCGATTAATTGGGATTAATCGTTTGACAGCCCTACTATTTATGCATAATATTAGCATTTTTCTAACTATATTATAATAGGAGCTTTTTCATACTTTTTTTTTTTTTATTAAAAAAGATTATGTATACATATTTTTATTATACCAAAAAATGATTGGCTCTTTGTTGCAGTAGTAATCAGAATGGAGTTTTGTTTTGTTTTTCTTTCTTTATATTATATTAACCAGAATTGGGGGGCTAGTTTTATTTTTAGTATTATTAATATTTTTTGTTTTTAATTTAAATTTAGATTTTTTTTAACTAATAAAATGACAAAAGCACACAAAATTACTAAAAATGTATTCATTTTTATTTATTTTGGTAACACTTTACAGTAAGGTCTAATTTCTTACCATGACCTATAACATTGAGCAATAGATTTATTACAATATTTATTCATCTTTGTTAATAAAAATACAGTTGTTCATTTTGGTTCACAGTGTAACAAACACAACTTTTAAATCTGACCTAAACGAGTTTTAGTAATGTACGTTTGGACTGAAGTAGATTGAGTGTTTACAAACGAGTTACTAGGAGTGCTATTTGGGTGTCGAGAAATGTTCCTGTGGTGCTCTTCAGTTTGTAGATCCAGATTGAGTGTTTGTTGTGTGGCTTCTGCACTTGTTGACTGACTGTTGATCTTTACAACAGCTGGAGAGCAGCTTGGCGGAGCAGAGACAGATGCTGGAGAACGTCCAGGGCCTGAAGAACAGTCTGGAGGAACAGTTGAAAGATGCCCTTGGCAGCAAGGTGTGAAATCTAATGTGACCACTGCGCTCTGCCAGAGTTTTGAGTTATGTTTCTCATAAAAAAAAAACTTCCTAGTCTACTCAGTGCTTCCTGTGCATGTGATGAATCAGTTAATCATATAAGCAGGAGTCCATGCAAACAACAGGATGTGCATCAAACAAAAGATTAAATGTTCATGAATTCTGAAGTAAACTTGACAAAATGTGTGCGTTGTAGAGTGCTTTGGAGACTCAGGCGTTTGAAGAGAAAGACAAGGCACAGAGACTTCAGACAGAGCTGGATGTCAGCGAGCAGGTCCAGAGAGATTTCGTCAAGCTGTCCCAGACCCTTCAGGTAAACACATTTCACTGGTAGAACATGGAGTGCTAGAAGCACAACACAGCAGGTTAAGACTGTTCTGGGAGATGATGATGGCAGTTTTGGCCAGAGCAACACATTTTCTGCTCCTAGAGAGTTATCACATGACTTGAGGCAAAAAATAGATTCATATGTAGGAATTTATTCAGTAAATGTTTCCTTCATAGTGAAGTATGTTGTCTTACTAAATAATTATGAAAAAAAAAAAACATATACATATTAGGGCTGTCAGTTAAATGCGTTATTAACGGTGTTAACGCAAATCCATTTTAACGGCGGACATTTTTTATCGCGCGATTAACAGTCTTTTTGTCCTAGCAGACTTTGTCGTTTTTTTCACATGCTTTTGCAACAGGACGCGGCGCTATAAAACCTATTAATTTCAATGGCTTGCGCCGCGTGAAGATGTTTTGTTGCTTTTTGGCCAAAGACCGGAAACAAAATAACAGGCAGCACACACTTGTTTAGGCTTGCGAGCCGGCCAAATAGTAGGTTAATATTACGTTTTGAGTGGATGACGAGCGCGAGATGCCCCAATAAGATTCTGAATGGAAATTTTACTTTTAAAAGTTGCCAAATTCCATTGACAAGACCAAAGTGATCTGTTTATTTTGTCGTTGTGAATTGAGCTATTATCATCACAGCACGTCCAGTCTGAAATACCACTTGATGATGGCCAAGCACACACACACAGCTGATGCGACTTCTCCGCCTTTACTTCACCCTTTTATTGATGGACAGTGTTACATTGTGTGAGATTATTTGCTCCGAGAGAGAATGTTAGTGTGAAAATGAACACCGTGTATGCCAACGTTGTTTAAAAAACAAAAAAACAATTGCGAAAAGCAAGCTGACCCACTTTTCCATGTTGATAAGAGCGATAAATTGAGAAAAAAATAATGGGACAAAAAGAATTCAAGAGACATTTAGAATAGATTTAAATGTGCGATTAATCACGAGTTAACTGTGGTATTAATGCGATTAATCGCGATTTAAATATTTTAATCGTTTGACGGCACTAATAAATATGTTTTAAAGAGGCCATATTATGCTTTTACAAAGTCTTCAAAGATTTAGTTTTTGGTCTAGAATAGGTTTTGATGCTCAAAAAACACCTTTACATATTTTACATTGTTGCTGCACCTCTTTTCCCAGTTTGTCAGTGACGCTCAGGGCTGCGTTTCCTAAAAGCATTGTGAGACCATTGCCACCAATGTTCACTACGATCTACTTAGGCTTATGGCCTTGTCCCAAATGGCACCCTTTGCACTCGCAGTCTTCTTCTGAGTCCGCACTTTCGAGACGTAACGCCGCTTTGAGGGTGCAAATCGACCGCCCGCGAGCACCCTTCTGAGACCTTAAATGACAAATGGGACACCCTGCGGTCTCACGGACTTAACGGACACGCCCACTCGTCGGCAGCCATTGTAAGTCCACAAGACCAAAAGTACACATGAAGTGTGCCATTTGGGACAGGGCCACAGTGCTTTTGGGAAACGCAGCCCTGTTTATTTCTTGTCTCTATGAAGCTTATCCTTCCGAAAAAGCACAATGTGCTCTGATTGGTCGGCTGGATATGTCGCATACCATAACTGCGAGTTTCAACACTACTAGCGCACATTGAGACGTTTCAGGGTGTTCAGAAACCCTAACCCTTTGGAGTGACTTTGTATTTTGTTACTTTTCAAACCTTTTTCATGCCCAAACTGCAAAATTACACGCTAAAGAAAGCCGAAAATGTAAAAAAAAAAAAAAAAAAAAAAAAAGTGCAATAGTAAAGTAAATATATAAGTAAAAAAAGTCCTCTTTAGTGCAATTTTTGTCCATAAATTCCTGATTATTTCATGCAATATCCCAAAATTAGTATAAAACATTTTGTAGGATTCGGAGTAGCAATGTGACTTGATTTCAACATTTTTAAATAATTAAATTAATTAATAGTTTATATATTTATTTGTCCAATTCAAAAGTGATTTAGTAATTTATTATTTTGTTAGTTTTAGCTTCAATTTTAAATACGAATGTGTGTAAGTCAGTAAGATATTTGCAGTTTACTATTTTTAATCAGCATGGAAGCATTCACTTGAACAAAAGTGACATTTATAATGTTACAAAAAATATATATTTCTAATTAATGCGGTTCTTTTTAACTTTCAATTTTCAAATACAATGCTTTTGTTCCCCTGCAGGTGCAACTGGAGCGCATCCGTCAAGCGGACTCGTTAGAGCGGATCCGTGCCATTCTCAACGACACCAACTTTACAGACATCAGCCAGCTTCCCGAGACATGATGTCACTTCCTCTTCACGACTCCATCGTGCACATCTAAACACATGCACTCTCCACACGCTCCACCTGTACCTCAGATCTTCGGCCCGAGCGTGCAGGTCTTGGAGCAACACTACTGATACCGACCTACTACTGCTATCGTCCAGCTTGAACACGCGTCCTCAAGAGCACAGCGAGAGTCCGAGGGAATGCTTCGTGTCTTGTAATACCACGAGGAGCTCGGCGGATAATCAACTGATGTGACTGTCCCGTTCCCAGACCCTACCAAAGTTCCCGTCTCTCTTCTTCTCTTCCAAGCAGTGACCTATGAAGGAAACAGACACTCCTGAAGTGTTTTGTACATACTTGTATACAGATGATGTGTATATTGCGTTAGTTAAGTTAATACACGAGACTTTTTGATTCCCGCCTCCTACGTTTTCACAAGCGACCCCGTTTCTCTCCTCATCCACCAATCATTTCACAGGCTCTGTCGTATCGTTGATCCTCAACGTCAGTCTAAAGACTAAAGGCAATCCTCCATATTCCCAAATCTTTTTTTTTTACCTCCTCTTAACAATTTGACAATTGCTTACTGCTACTTTTGTTGGAACGGACTGATGCTTTTGCTTATTTTTCTGTTTTCTTTGGATATCGCGGACACATCTGATGATATTTACAGTTTACATTCGGTCTGATTTTTGATATTTGATGGATTTGCGTCAAGTATGAGGCGACAGCACTGTTTTAGAAGGTGGTTACCCATCATTCTGCTGTCTGTGTATTAATGAAAGCACACTATGCTTAATGATTTACAAGTGGCGTCTTAAACCGAATCCTGTGTTTTGTGTACCACATGAAGCGGTACAGTAATATATGTATGTCTGGCGTGCGGCGTAAACAGAATTTCATATAGAACCAAAGTTGATCATGTTGAGCTTAAATATTCAAAGCGTCATATTTGGATGGTTTAAATCAAAATCAAAAGGACATGGAAAAGGGCTAATGATTTTTAAGTCTTTTTCTGGCTGCTTTTGTTTTGTTTTTTTTGTTTTTTTTGTTTTTTGGATGCGAACTACAGGAAACAAGAGTGCGTGATTTATGTCCAGTTCAGTTAAATGGCAAAAAAGACCAAAAGTGACATTAGATTTTGGCATGTTTTTTTGGTTTTTAATTAATAATAATAATTAAATGGTAATAGTGTATTTTAGTTCAAATTAGAGAGTGAATTCACCCAAAAATAAATATTCCGTTCCAAGCCTGTTATTCATTCATCTTCTGAACACAAATGATCTTTTTGATGAAATCTGAGATATTTCTGTCCTTCCATTGACAGCTACACAACTTTCAAGCTCAAGAAAGGTAGTGAAGACATTACAGTAATCCATGCGATTTTAACCTCAATTACATGAAGTGATGTGATTGCTAATGTTAATGGAGAGAGAAAGGTCTTAGATTTCATCAAAAATACCTTCATTTGTTTTCTGAAGATGAATGAAGGTCTTACGGGTTTGGATCGACATGAGGGAGAGTAATTAATTACAGAATTTAGATTTTTGGGTGAACTATCCCTTTAACAAAGTCTGTTATTAAAAACATTGGTTTAACAAAAATCCATGTCAAAATCCATATATAAAAAAAAAGCCCTGTACCTGCACGTGTAATATTATGTCTGCTAATTTTGTCATTAAAAAAAGAAATGGTTATCAGTGATATCTGAGAATGGAAAAACAAATTCAGTCCAAGTATTCCAGGTTTTTTTAATCAACAAATGCAATGAATTAATTAAGTTTCCTGAGCGAAGCCGACCACTTTAACAACTCCACCTGATGAGTACACAGAACTTTACCAACGCTACTATAGTATGACCAGTGCTGCTGTTGTGATCTGTACATGGACTGATGATGATGATGATGAAGCTCTTCTGTGTGGATATGTGCATTATATTAAGACCATGTGTGTTGTGGTGGTGTTCATTTTATTACCCGTCAGTTTCACTTCATAACGCTCACACGTCCCGTGCCGTCTTCACATTGCAAACACACGTAAAGTTGCTGTTTCAATTGTTTCATGTTTTACTAGAACAACAGGAGCATAGTTTTGACATCACAATAGGAACTACATTTCTTTCTTTAGAAGACACTGTTGGAACTCTAATAACAAATTTGGGGCTAGGAAACTACCATTTTTATTGCATTTTTTTTTTCAGTCAGTATAATTTATAATTCGTGACAGTCATTTCTGCTGGGTCTGTATAATGATGATTCATTCACAATAATAATTTTTTTTTTTTTTTTTGCATGCTGTGTTGCAAATTCAGAAGCCCTGGCAAATTTATATACTGTACTGTGTACATATCCCTGTATATATCTATATAATAAAACAAACAAGAAAAAAACAAGTTGTATATGGAACAAGTTGTATAAGGATTTTTAGTCAGTAGATTTAAGATCACATGAATCATAATATCATGTAAATAACATGTATAAGGTTTTCAAGACTTTGCATTATACTTTGGTAAATCATTATTAAGACAAAATTATAATTAAGAGACATTCATAAGACAAAAAGTAGAAAACTGACAAGTCAAAGTTGTGGAACAAAATCTCAATGACAAGTCAAAATTGACAAAGCATAATTAGTCATATAATTGACTTTTATAGTTTCTACTTTTTATCTCACAATTGACTTAAAGGAGTAGTTCACTTTTAAAAAAACTTTTGCTGATACTTTAGTCACCCCCTTGTCATCCAAGATGTCCACGTCATTCTTTCTTCAGTTGAAAAGAAATTAAGGTTTTTGATGAAAACATTCCAGGATTTTTCTCCATATAATGGACTTCATTGGGAACCAAATGGTTCAAGGTCCAAATGAGAGTTTCAGTGCAAACTGTTCAAAGGGCTTTAAACGATTCCAGACGATGAATAAGTGTCTTATCAAGCGAAACGATTGCTCATTCATTTTAAAAAAAGATGACAAAGTTCAAGTTTTATAAGCCCAATGTTCTGTGATGCACATTGGTGACTCTCCAGTTCAAACTCGTTCATCAAAATGAACGAATCTTTTTTTCGTGTCATTTGGTTCATTCAACAAACAAAATGAACAAATTGACTCGGGAAAAGATTTGTTCATTTTGAAAACAAGTTCGAATAATATAACTAACTGGATGATTATTTATTTATACACTTATTCATAAGTATGCCGTGTCATAACTACATCTCTGACGTTTATAACAAACCAAACCGTTTGAAAATCAGAGAATTGAGCAAGTTATGGTTATTTAAAATGTACATGCACCATTAAAACACAATGTTACGAGTGAGCGAGCTGCGTGTGGTGCGGACCTCAGCGAGACATCTAGCCGGATGCCAGCCCGAACTCCGCCCACAACATTTTTTGGTCGGAAATCTTTTGGTCTTATTAGAAAATGAGTATGACGAAGTCAGGCTAGGATATCTATGATTATGACTGCAAATGACTATGTCAATTGGCTCTCAAAATTACGACTTGCCTCATAATTAACATATGGCCGGTTTCACAAAAAAAAAAAAAAAGCTCAAGTCTAGTCCTTGACTAAAATGCATGTTTGTACTGTCTGAACAGAACAAAGCAACTTGCAGATATATCTTAGTTAAAATATATCAGTGCCATTGTTTTTTTTTCCCCCTCAAGATGCACATCAGATTTTAAGGCACATTTATAAAAGCTACTTAAATGTCCTAATTGAACTAAGGCCTGACTCAACATCGAAGCCCCAAGTCAAAATTGGGATACCAAGGCAAAGCCCGGTTTCACAGACGGTTTAGATTAAGACATAACCGTCATCATTTTAACTTATGTTTTTTATCTTATAATTTTGATTTCTTATAGGTTTGCCTCATAGACTTTATTGTAAATTCCAAATATATTCTTGTTACCAATTGAACAGTCAAAAATGCATGTTGGTTGTAAACAGCAGATAACTGTTGATAAAGCTCAACATGTATTAAACCCAGGACATTCTTCCGACTTCAGTATACAAGCTCCTTGTTCTTGACATGATCTTTTCCCTCGTCACATTCCGCCTAGTGATTAGCGGAGGGAAGGAAAAGAGGGAAAAGTCTTCGTATCCATCATGACCTCTTCAGATAAGCCATTGTCTCAGTTCAGGAAATAACGCCGATGTCCAATGCTGCTGTCTCACAGCTGATAAACTCTCACAGCAACACATACACAGGAAAGAGTCACTTCAATGCACAAAACCCTTTATTGTCGAGGAGATGTGTACATGTACATAGCACTTATAAAAATAGACAACCTAGTTTATACAAAAATGTCTGGTCAAATGAAATCTTTTAATTCGCTCAGGCCGATGGAGATGCTTTTGGGTTCTACTGTAAAGTCATTGTCTGCTATATGATGATAATAGATTGGCCTTTGAGGACTGTTGATTGCTGATGATCAGAAGCTGAAATGGTTCTTGATGTCCTTGATTTGCTTCATCATTCCAGCGATGTGCTCTCCCCTACAGGATACAAGAAAGAAAGTCAGGATCACTGCACTATTGCACACCAAGTCCGGAATTTTCGCATATGCTTTTTCCTATTCGGATAAGTACTATTTGGCAACCACATGTGATTTAGAAATTTAGAAATCGGCACGGGTGCGAGGGCCCTTTTCATCGCTGCTTGCAGCTTTAATTCTTTTTGTTTTTGCTTTTCTGATGATTTTCAGCTTTCTCTTTCTGCAAATTTAGTAGCTGTATGGTGTATAGCGATATGAGCCAGCGCCCAAAATACTAATCAAAACACTCCAATACAGCCTCCTTTCTTCGTGAAAGATGGATAGAAAGGCAAACATAAAACTAAAACCTTGAAAAAATGATAAACGACCCGCCAAATCACAGATGGACGGAACTGATATTATCACAGGACCAACAATAGACCTCGGCGAATGCCACAGATCTAAATAGTGCATAATACGTACTGTTCTTTCAGCACTCCCTGGACACACTTCCTCTGGTGGGCGTTGAGTGCGATGCTGGAGCGAGCTGGGGATGCTTCTGTATTCATCTGCTTCTTCTGATATTCCTTCTTCATGTTCACCTGATAACACATAATGACACTGGGGAAACCGCTCATGGCAACAGAAATGAAGCCAAAATAAACACGGTTTTAACTAGGATACACTGTGAAGCAGAGTAAATAGATTAAGGAATAACAGAGACAGGACGGACCTGTTTAATGCCGTTGTCAAGGTGACGGAGCTGATCGTGGATGGTGTGCAGTTCCTTCCTCATGTCCTTCTCACTGTCTGACAGCACAGGAAGTTGACTGCGCAGACTTCCCAAAACCTGTTTAACTCTACACACACGAACAAATGGTTTTAGCAGCTGAGGTTTAATAATGCTTTTTTTGTTTTAACTGAGGAGGAAGTTTCGTTAAACATTCCTATTATCAATTTTTTTCTATTCAACTAAATTCACAGGGAAGTGAACCTGTTCATGATGGCTTCCTGATGGTACTTGGCATCTTCATATTTATCAGCCAATCGCTCTGCAGCCTCCCTTAGGGTTTTCCTACAACACACAGCAACACATTTCACATAACTTTAGCACAGTGCATCTACCGCAGTAAACCACAGCTTTAATGACTCTCCTGTTCTCAGCCCACTCATATGTTTCAGCTGTTTACCACACTCAGAAATAACATCCTCGTATCTATGTGGTACTCATACATTTAGTTCTGTGACTCATAAGAGTTAAATGTGTTTCTGTACGTGTGGTTGTGATTCGTGTAAGTGCTGCGGTCACCTCTCCTCTCTACAAAGAGCAAGATCATCCAGCTGCTTATTCTTCTGTCCAGTCAGGAGCTTTACTCTACAAGGGAAGAATCAGAAAATTAACTGTTAATACAACAGCTGTATTTAACTAAACGGATTACAATCATACACTACTAAAGAAGAAACTGATTGAACTGTTTATATCATGGAACAAAATTATATTGACTTATACACTACTGAGTTTATTCTACTTCAGAATTAAACTAGAGCATTTTGGAAACACTACAGTGCTTTTTTGTTTATGTTTTTGAAGTTATATTCACCAAGGCTGCATTTATTTGATCAAATATATATATATATAAAAATTGTGAAATATTCTTAGTTTAAAATCACCGTTTCCATTTTAATACATCTTAAATTTAACGCATTTCTGTAATAGCAAGCTACATTTTTTTAGCAAATATTTGATGTCACATGATCCATCAGAAATCATTCTAATATGTTGATATGGTCCCTGAGAAACGTTTCTTATAATTATTAATGTTCAAAACAGTTGTGCTGCTTAATACATCAGGATTTATTATTCTTTAAAAGAACACTTTTTAAAAAAAAATATAAATCTTTTGTAACAATGAAAAAGTCTTTCATGTCACTATTGATCAATCGAATGCATCCCTGTTGAATACAAATCTGTTTTTTTTTTATATTAATGCTGTTTGAATTCATATTCATAACACTTTTAATTAGGTCAATACATGTTAAATCAGACTACATACTGGCTCTTAAACTTGCTTGTTTGATTTAGTTATCTATATTACTTTGCATATATATATATATGTACTGTGTGTGTATATATATATATATATATATATATATAAATGGCAAAAGAAGATCTGGTTCAAAATAACAGCTTTGAAAAATGTTTATCTTGTACCTTCTCTGCATTTCTTCATGA